AGACAAGTGTTATTCGAGCCATTTACGCCGGAAATTTCTGGAAAAGGAAGGAACTGTTACGTTAGATGAATTGTTGCGTGTTGCAAGATCCCAAGAAGCGGTTGATCGACAACTGAAGCAATACAGTACCGACCAAGCAGATAACCAGGTCAATGCAGTGGGTGGCAGGCTGTATGGAAACAAAAATCCCAGGAAAGCAAAGACGTGCTTTAGCTGCGGACAAGAAGGACACTTCAGTCAAGACAAAAAGTGCCCGGCGCGTGGTCAAACTTGCAGGAAGTGCGGCGAAACAGGCCATTTCAAAGTTAAATGCCCTCGACTCCATCAGCTAAGCAGGACCCATTCGGGATCTAGAGGACCTGAGAGTAGCAGAGGCGGACGCGGCAGAGGAGGCAGGAGTGCTGGTGGACTGGGTCGAGGTGGACGCGGACGCGGAGGGCGAGAGACGAACCTCGTGACTGGAAGACCTAGCCCTGGAGAGGAAGACAAAGGAGATTTCGCTGCATCAGGTCATTCGCAAAGACCCGATTATGCCTTTTCAGTGGAACAGGTGAATGATCGCAAGGAACAAAGGGGCGCTTTGGTAACGCTGGTCATTGGTGGTGTAGACGTACCCGATGTTCTCATTGATTCGGGAGCTTCATGTAATGTTATGGGCCAGCAGACCTGGGAGTTGTTAAAGCAAAAGGGGATTAACTGTGAATCTCGCAAATCTGCAAAGGAACTTTTTGCTTATGGTGGTACAGAACCTTTACCGACCCTAGGAACGTTCACGGCAGATGTCACGCTGGCTGGGTTTGAAAACGGAAGTAATGCTGATTTTGTGGTGGTTGTAGGCGATGGTCGCACGCTGTTGGGCCGAGAGACTGCCGAGGCGCTAAACCTGTTGCGTATTGGTCCTTTTCAGACAAACAGTGTTGACGGTGGGCGATCGGACGGGGATGTCAGAGAGAAATACAAGCACTTGTTTAGTGGTGTTGGTCTTTTGAAGGGCTACGAGCTTAAGCTACACATTGATGAGTCGGTGAAGCCTGTAGCGCAGCATGTACGTAGGATACCGTTCGGGTTACGCGAGAAGGTGGATGCAAAGCTGGATGAACTTTTGGAGCTTGACATTATAGAGGAAGTGCCGGAGGGGCCGTCAGGATGGATTTCGCCGTTGGTGGTGGTTCCCAAAAGCGATGGCGACGTAAGAGTCTGTGTTGATATGCGTCGTGCAAATGAAGCAATCGTCCGAGAGCGTCACCCAATTCCAACCGTTGAGGAGCTGTTACACGACTTGAATGGCAGTACGGTGTTCAGCAAGATAGATCTCAAGTGGGGTTTTCACCAGATTTTACTCAGTGAGGAAAGTCGCCACATCACTACCTTTGCCACGCATCGAGGGCTTTATCGTTACAAGCGGTTGATGTTTGGCGTAACGTCGGCGCCGGAGAAATATCAGCAGATCATTAGAGATGTGTTAAGGGGTTGTGCTGGGGTTGCGAACATTGCGGACGATCTCATTGTTCATGGGTGTGACGTGGAGGAACATGACAAGCGTCTTTTTGCGGTGTTAGATAGGCTGAGTGAAGTGGGGTTGACGGTGAACGGAGACAAGTGCGAGTTTAGATTGTCAAGGCTTACGTTCTTTGGTCACGAGCTGACTAGTGACGGCATAAACCCATCCGAAGAGAAGATTGCTGCTATAAGAGATGCTAGATCTCCCAAAGACGCAAGTGAAGTGCGATCGTTTATGGGTCTTGTCCAATATTCCGCTAAGTTCATGCCTGACGTGGCGTCCGTGGCCAAGCCTATTCAAGAGTTAACCAGGAAGGGCATCGTGTTTCACTGGGGTAAAGAGCAACAAACAGCCTTTGAGGAACTGAAGCGTCTAATCACCCAGGCAGAGACACTGGCTTATTTTAAGGTTGGCTGCAGAACGCGAATCATTGCCGATGCATCTCCAGTTGGATTAGGAGCGGTTCTCACCCAGCAGCAGGGGGGAATGTGGAGAGTTGTCTCCTACGCGTCGAGGAGCCTAACTGACGTGGAACGACGCTACAGCCAAACAGAGAAAGAGGCACTTGCCTTGGTTTGGGCGTGTGAACGGTTCAACATGTACGTTTCCGGACAGAGCTTCGAGTTGGAAACAGATCACAAGCCTTTAGAGCGTGTCTACTCGCGCACTTCAAAGCCTTGCGCCCGAATAGAGAGATGGGTCTTAAGACTACAAGGGTACGATTTTAAAGTGGTGTACCGCCCAGGGAAGACAAATATAGCCGACGCGTTGTCCCGTTTGAACTCCTTGGATCAAGTGGACCATGGAGAAGACTACGACTTTGTCAGAGCCATTGCTATAAGCTGTATACCCGTTGCTCTATCACCTACAGAAATTGAAGAAGCTTCCTATTTTGACGAAGAATTGACGATAGTAAAGAGTTGCGTGAGGTCAGGGGACTGGGACCGGTGTACACTTCCCTCGTATGCACAAGTCAAGGACGAATTATGCGTCTATGGTGAGCTATTGCTTCGCGGCACAAGGATTGTGGTTCCCAAGCTCCTGCGCGACAGGGTGGTGCGGCTGGCACACGAAGGGCACCAGGGTATAGTGAAGACGAAGTATCGGCTCCGTAGTAAAGTTTGGTGGCCGGGAATGGACAAGGAAGTTGAGAAATTTTGTAAAGTTTGTCATGGCTGCCAGGTCACTTCTGGATTTAACCCTCCTGAGCCGATGTCCCGCGTTCTTCCTCCGAGTGCTCCTTGGCAGGATTGTGGAGCAGACCTGCTGGGACCCCTACCCACAGGAGAGAGTATTTTGGTGGTGATCGATTACTACAGTCGTTTCTTAGAAGTTGCTATTCTGAAGTCTACTACAAGTGCCAAGGTCATCGAAGCACTTGCACCCATGTTTGCCAGATTCGGTTTTCCGTTCTCTTTAAGGACAGATAATGGGCCCCAGTTCGTATCCGAAGAATTTGAAGCATATTTACGCGCAAATGGTATTGAGCACAGGAAAACGACGCCGTTGTGGCCTCAAGCTAATGGAGAGGTGGAACGCCAAAATCGCTCGTTACTTAAATGTCTACAGATTGCACATTTAGAAGGAAAGAACTGGAGAACTGAATTGCTTGTATGGTTGATGGCGTACAGATCCACTCCGCAAACGTCGACGGGGACTACCCCCTGTTACATGATGTTTGGCCACGAGGTTAGGTCCAAATTGCCAGAGTTAAGGAGAGAGACGGTCGGGGTGCCAGGCGAAGAAGTGCGAGAGCGGGATTGGTCAAGTAAATTAAAGGGCAAAGCTTATGCAGATCTCAAGAGAGGTGCCACGCCCAAGAGCATACGTGTTGGTGACACAGTACTTTTGAAAGCCGAAAAAACGAACAAGCTGTCTACCAACTTCAACCCTGCTCCTTTTAAGGTGGTTCAGAGGACAGGAACAGAGGTAACGCTTAGGAACGAAGCTGGTGTGCAACTGAAAAGGAACACTGCATTCGTAAAGAAGTACAACGATGGTGTATCCAATGGCAACGGAGACCAAGTGGTACAAGCAAGTTCTACAGTACAGACAGATGAGCCAGGGCCAAGCAGAGTTCCGGAGACGACAGAGGTATCAGGGCCAAGCGGAATTCCAGGGACTACAGGAGTATCTGAAAATTCCCAAGTACAAGCTGGGCATTCTACCGAAAAGGAAGATAACGCAGCGGAAAGGCCTGTGCGGAGGTCGACCCGAACTATAAGACAGCCTGCGCGCTATAAAGACTTTGTCCTGGATGTTTAGGACTTCTTTTCCTGTTTTGTCTAGTTTAATTCAAAGACTTTGTTTTGCTGAACATTTAGGGTTTTGCAGCCTTTTAAAACTGCCTTCCTGCTAAATTTGATCAAAGAAGGGAATGTAGTGTATACGATGCTAATGCAAGCGCGTAGAAGCGAGAGAATGAATGTGATGTGATACACACGGGAATTACGTAATTTGCATGTACTATAGATAGCGTGTGTTGTAATTTATTCGAGTCTGTTAGCGTTCTGAGTTCGGAGTGTAACGGTCGTGAATAAAGTGTGTTTTAACCTAACCGCGGTACTACAATTGTTTTGAACAAACACGATGAAAGTGCACCTTTCTCTCTTCAAACTGCAGTCGGCACTGTGGATAGATTGAAACTTCTAAGCTCCTAGCGCTGGGTTTACCCCCAAACAGAATGCTTCGGTTTAATTTCAAGTGTCTTGATATAAATCAGCTAACTCACACGCTTCAATTTCCAAGAAATGCATGGCAACTAGCGAAGCGTAAACGATGTGTTTAGCAGCTGTGCGGAGCTGTACATTACATTTCACTGTTTTCGTCAGAATTATTGGCCGGAAACGCATAACGGCCACGAGACAAGATACATAACCGAGTCCAGTCTCAACAAGAGACAAATCGCCTCTGCCTCTGCTTCAAAAGCCGCCATAGTTGTATATTTATTGAATATCCCTTAAGACTTGCAATAAGCGAGATAACTACTCGTACTCGTTTCTTTTATTCGATATTGTCTATTTTAAGTGTATGACCCACTTTATATGAGTAATATGAATTTGGGTAAAATCCTATTTTATAAGTTGAGTTATCTGTTGAATAGGAAACGCTTATAGTATATCATATAAGTGACCAATCTACTTGTTTTCTTTAATTAATATTGTCTATTCTACGTGTAAGTCATATCTGAATTGATTTGCAATCCACTTGTTTAAAATAACGTATTGGATAGGAAACTCTTATTACATTTTCTTACTGATACGCATGTTAAATTGTATATCCTAACACGTTTCAAAAGCCATTATATATATACTTGTGTCTTCACTCAATAATGCCTATTTCAGTAACATTGTCTATTTCACGCGTGTGATCTGGTTAATGAGTAAGTAACTATGAATTAAGAAAAAATTCTATTTTATAGGTAAGTTACCTTTAAGGTGGGAATCGTTGATTAAAAATACCTAGTGGGCTTTACTACGCGACAGCTTTAACGGCTCAGCCAATTGAATTTTTTGTCTATTTCACGTCATATGTAAATTGTGTATGTAACATAGGAATTAAAGTACACCTTGCTTTGTGAGTAAGTTACCTACTACTGGCATAGCAAAATTTAACTAAAAATGTCTACCGAACTACTACGCGTATTTAATTCAGTGTAACATCCTCAAATTTGTCACAATTTTCGCGACATCTTGGATCAATTTTTTCTGCTTTGTGCGCAGGACCTTCTTCAGAAGAAAGTAATTTCTGAATTAAACTAAAACATTTTAAAAGTAACCTATTTGCTTATGAAGGAATACAACTTTTTCATGGTCGTTAGTCACATGTTCAGTTGTCTTAACAAAAAGAAAAAACTTCTGATCTAACGATCATACACTGTATACATAAAGTAGGCTAAGGATAGACGTCTCAGCGATCTTGAGTCAAGCCTGACCTCTATTAACAAGGTTAATCCCAAGCAAGCGTTTGCTATAAACCTCCTTAGCTTGTATGCTTTGTTTTCTCAATGTAGGTCACGTGAGAGTAGGTGCAGTCACTTTTTACCCCCCACCCCCCCCCCACCCCAAGGTTTCAAATGGGAAACAACGCTTGGGTTGGGTTCACTCTGGGTTTTCATGTTTGCAGTTACACAGCGATAAATTCGCCGAGGGGGAAGAACAAACCTGAACCTGGCATCGCGGGAAAACGTCGTTGTAGACAGAGGCAAATTGTCGCTCAACAATCAAAAGTACGGGTTTAATTTACAAAAATAGTTCCAACGACTTCATAAGGAAAGAATTCTTGAACACTGATGTAAAGAATACTTTAGAGTGTTTCAAGGTGCTTTTGATATTAGTAAACGTAAAAACATTCACAGCAGCGCTCAAAATCCTGCTGAGTTTTCGAACTTCGAGTAGTATTTAGCACCAACAACTCAGCACGTGAACAACACGTGCTTCTACTATTTGGTGCATTTCACTTTTTCATGATTGGTTGAGCCGCTTTCTTTTTTTTTAACCCATAGAACTTAACTCGGGAACGGTCATGAGTAATTCTTTGACCGCACCCAATAATCCACAAAATTTATTCTTTCTAATTTAGTCTTTTATGCTTATGTACGCATACTTTGTAAAAAGACAAAGGGCCAAATTCATTGAGAAAACAAAACATACTGGTTAAAGAAATCCATTTCCCACGACGGTAAATGAAAATTATATACGGCCTTTGGGCACCATTACTAAAACCTTACGGAGACTAGAAGACCTCGTTTTCTCTTTGATCTCGTGAAAAAGCCTCACTTCCCTGAGTGTAATAGAAGAAAAGAACATCGCTTTTACAAAATAAATTAAAAGCAAATAAGTTGTAAACCTGTTTTCAACCTGAGTAATTTGTTTTCTAGCAACATTTGGGTAAACTACGTTGTCACGATAAACGACTACACACGAATTTCCGCACAAAAGATTTCTAGCGATTCAACTCTATCAACTACGAAAGTTTTCACAAAATTCTGACAAAATACTTGATGGACGTTACACAGATCTTGATAGTTCGTCGATTATCCTCTGCATGGTTGGTCTCGCTTCAGGATCTGTCTGCAGGCATCGCCGTACCAGGCCTCTCAACACATGGTTCGTCATGACCAGAACTTGTTGTTCACGCCTTCTAGGATCTGGAAGTTCCCGGACGCACATTTCACAAAGAAGAACACCAAAGCTATAAACATCAACCTATGAACGACACACGCATTTCAAATTTATTTTTTTTTACTGGCCTCGCAAGTGGTTTCGAAACAATTGAAACTACCTAAAAGTTCAGGCTCATTGTGGACAGTTCTCGGTCTCACCTACTTCTTAGTTATACCGTTGAAGGTTTCCTAATAAACAACTCAATATAAACTTTACGTTGACAAAGAGCAGGATTAGTGTGTCACGTAAGTCTTCTTGTCACGCGGTGCGGAGATGATGACACGAAGAAAAGAAGTTCGCCCAGCAACGCAGTTTTGATTGGAGTAGAGCTGATGGCGCAAAAATCTTGAGTTTACCAGTCGACTGTATTACACCTGAGATCAGACTAAATAAAATTTCGGCATGAATATGTAAGCTGCTGCAATTGGACTTGATCATTTGGAGTTTTGATTGATGTACAACAAGTGCGCTGTGAGATCTAATGGCAACTGATTTGTTATGTAAACTGGCTTTTTAGTGGGCCATCATCTCCGCGCCCCGTGACTAGGAGGCTTACGTGTCATGCTAATCCATTGTGTTGTGTGTCAAAGTAAATTTGTTGCATTCTTCAGGAAACATGTTACAAACATATTTTAACAGAAGAACTCTTTCGAAACCACATGCGCAGTCATCGAAATTACATTCCTAATGCCTGTATTAGTTTAAAATTTTAAGGTTATTTGAGACATCTTTTAATATTTATTTTAGATACCGTTGTAGCACATTTTTAGGTCATTTTAGATCATTCCCTCTTTTTGTAACTACGCAACCAGTATCATATTCAATTCTGCATTCCTGTATGTGTAATTAGACTGAATTTTTAACGATAACCTCTCTGTATTCGGTCAGATTGAAAAATCTTTAAATGGATAAAATTTTCGAATAATAAGTTCATTAATCGAATCTTGGGGGTGGGCGGTTATGCTTGAACTGGTTTGACCATAAGTATTATAGTCTGATTGTGATCTTATTAAGCTGTAGGCTGTAGGATATACTTTACACAGATTAACGGCCTCCTCTCCATGGTGTCACTTTACACCCTACCACCCCTTAACGGCCACTTTCCCACGCGGTGACGTTACTCTCTCCCAAAGGCGGTCGTTTTGGAAAGGTTTGACTCTATTAGATTTATATGAGAAGTCTCCAGTACGATTTTAAAACTGAACAATTAATGAGAAAACCACACGTCTACAGCTTGTTTTCGTTGCGTACAGTGTAAACTCCTGAAAAACGATCAATAGTCGAGATTACCCATGAATGTTTGAGGTCAAAAGGTGAAGGTAAAAGCTATCACCGTTACCACTGTTTGGCCGGGAATTAAGCAGCAAGAGAACGAGCACAGAATGTTATTCTGGTTCACACAAAACTAAACAGATCAGCATCAATTTGCTGCTTCCAATTTTACACCAAGGTAAAGTAGGACAGAGTGTAGTACAGTTTCTTTTGTGTGAGTAAACGACCAACCAGGTCTTAAAATCCTACGCGCTCAAGATCAATGCACCAACGCGTTTCTTCTAAATCTAAAACGTGTTTATGAAGCAGTATTGAATCAGAAAAGCCCTAAATTCAAGAAAACTCACCTTGACCGTTTGCTTTGATGTAAGTGCCTCAGGCGCGCAGTAAATCATAGCTCCAGGAGCCACTGTCATGGTCTGCTGCATGAAATTAGCAGTGCCATAATCTGACACTTTGCCTCTCCATTGGTCACCTTGTCGCCATAACAACACATTAGCACTGCTCACATCTCGGTGAATGATAGGCTCTGGTTTCTTCTGATGAAGGTAGTTGATTGCTCGGGCTATATCCAGAAGAATGGCTCGTATTTCTATCTGGGAGAGTTGCCGCTGTTCTAACAGAGCTCGCAGACTTTTTTCCATCAGTTCGGTCACAAACAGAGGGTTTCCCTCATCATTAGTGGCGCCGATAAACTGAAGCAAGTGAGGATGGCGGCATTTGGATGCAATATTCATTTCTCTCTCAAAAAGACGTATGTTATGAGGGGAAAGAATCAGATCATGAATTTGCTTTACCGCTACAGTACAGCCACAATACACGCCTTCATAAACACTTCCCCAGCCTCCCCTGCCAAGGCATTTGTTGGTCATTTGAATTTCATCGCGGGAAATGACCCAATCGCATGATTTCTGTTGTTGCTGTTCACTTATTGTTTGCTGGGCTAATGAAAGACTTAACACAAGCTCATTTACTTCCTGGTCTTTGTCTCTAAGCTGTCTTTCTAAGGTGGAAACCCGTTGTTGGGAGTTTTCAAATCGCTGCCGCATCTCCCTAAGCTGACTTTCTAAGTTTTCTTCACGTTGCTGTGTCTCCCTCAGCTGACGTTGTGAGTTTTGCTGCATCTCCCTCAACTGCCTCTGTGAGTTTCCTTCGCGTTGCTGTATCTCCCTCAACTGCATTTCAAGGTTTCCTTCGCGTTGCTGCATCTCTCTCAGCTGCCTTTGTGAGTTTTCCTCACGTTGCTGTGTCTCCCTCAACTGCCTTTCAAGGTTTCCTTCGCGTTGCTGCATCTCTCTCAGCTGCCTTTGTGAGTTTTCTTCACGTTGCTGTGTCTCTCTCAACTGCCTTTCAAGGTGTCCTTCGCGTTGCTGCATCTCTCTCAGCTGCCTTTGTGAGTTTTCTTCACGTTGCTGTGTCTCCCTCAGCTGCATTTGAAGGTTTCCTTCTCGTTGCTGCTGTCTTTGCGAGTTTTGCTGTAACTCCCTCAACTGTCTTTGCAAATCTTCTTCGCGTTGCCGTATTTCTCTGAGCTGCCTCTCTAAATCTCGTTCGTGCTGCCGTACCTCTCTTGATGGCCTTGGGATAGGAGTTTGTACGCTTGCTTCACGTAGATCTTGCATATTTTCTGTAAGGGTTTGAGACAAGGAAATCAATCACTCAAAGTCGCCCAGGAGAGGAGAAGAGTATGTCTTGGTAGCAGAAAAAAGAAAAAAGATAACTTTGAAATTCAAGTATTTAAGGCAGAAAGCATACCTAAGAATAAACAAAAACTACTGCATGCAAGGTTTATTTATAACATAACAAAAGTAAAGCGCGTGCTCTGATTGGTCAGTTAGCCATCTACCATTTGCCCGTTGGTGCTCGCAAAGAAAAGCTAGCGCGGTAAAATTGAGGCAAATATTAAGCAAATCTGCTCGACTGTGCGGTTTAACATGCACCGATAAAATGTACAAATGAAAAGTGGAAGTTGAAGAAAATGCTCAGTTGTCGTTTTGAAGAAAAGTCAAATGATCGAGCGACAAATTTGACAAATTTGCCCTGGAGAAATTCCTCACTGTTTTGTTCGCGGCTGGGAGCTCAGAAGAAAACCCGAGTGAGCGAAGTTTTTATGAGGATCTAAGTCCGAGATTCAAGGTAAATTGTTGTCTTCTTTCTCGGGTATTGAAGTCAACGGGAGCAAGAGACTTTCTCCCACCCCGAGTGTGACTAATTTGAGTCCCAGGCCGTGTCGCTATCTTTCAACGGTAACGCGGAGTTCAAACCAAGGTTCTGTCGATGGCTTCAGACGGGAAAGGTTGCAGAGATTGGTGACCTTTGATTTTGGTTAAAACTTGACTCGGACTAGCCTACTTATATGTTTTCACGATAACGTTCCAGAACTTTCCAAATAGTCTAATTATAAAAAGATTACAAAATATACCGTTTTAGAAACGCTTACACAGGATCCTAAAATAAACAAACTAGGAACTCTCGCGAAGCTTCTTGAAAGTCACGCTAGTCACGCAATACAATTCTTCGTAACATAACCCCCTTTCAGAAGAAATTTCCTAAATTTCCAATACAACAGAAAAACTGTTAGCTAATGTACAACAGGGGTAGTCCGGTGTCTCTCAGGTTACTCTTCTACTCGACTAAGATAATCCACTCCAACATTCTCTGATCCTTTGGTGGCTTCCACCTTGAAATTGTAACTTTGTAGAAACACCGCCCATCGCATGAGTCGTGCGTTGGTATATTTTGCGCTGTCCATGTACTTCAGCGGCTCGTGGTCTGTCTGCGGCACAAAAGGTACACTGTACAAATATAGATGAAATCTCTTGATTCCCCATACAATCGCTAGGCATTCTTTCTCGATTGTAGAATAGTTGCGCTCCGCACTTGACAATTTCTTGCTTGCAAAACAAACCGGGAATAATTTCTCATCGTGCCTTTGCATCAATACTCTCCATTGTTGGAAGCGTCCGTCCGTAAAAAATAGGTTTTAGCTGGATCGGGGAGGCGTAGGATAGGTTCACTTGTTAAGTAAGACTTTATTGTTTGGTAGGCTTTTTCTTGTGCTTCATCGCACTCAGCTTTATTGGGTTGGCCTTTCCGTGTGAGATCAGATAAGGGCGCTGCGATCGCTGCGAAGTTGGGAATGAAATCTCTGTAGTATCCTGCTAGACCCATAAGTGACCGCACCTGTTTCTTTGTGCTTGGCCTTGGGGCATCTTTAATTTTCTCCACGTTATCCTGATGTAGAACAATCATTCCTTGCTCCAATCGATGGCCTAGGAAATCCACACTGTTTACTCCGAATAGGCACTTCGTAGGTCTAATAGTCAACCCAGCTTGTACAAGGCGCAAAAACAGCTCTCTAAGGGCTCTAATATGTTCTTCCCACGTACGGGTGTGAACCAATATATCATCCCAGTAGAAGTCGACATCATCTACAACTTCTATCAATTTCTTCATTGCACGCTTCAGTGTTGCCGCCGAGTTAATCATTCCAAACGGCATCTTCAAGAACTCGTACGACCCGTCAGGTGTTACAAACGCAGTTTTCGGTATTTCCTCCTCCGGTATAGTTATCTGCCAATATCCCTTGCTAAGGTCAATTTTTGAAAAGAATTTGTCTCCACTAAGCTTCTGGAACAATTGTTCGGCAGTTGGCATAGGCTCAGGATCAAATACAATTAGTTTATTTAATTTCCGATAATCAACGCACACACGGTTTGTGTTGTCTTTTTTCTTCACTACTACAACAGGTGACGCATACGGAGAACTGGACTCTCTAATAACTCCCATTTTGATCACGTCGGCAATATCTTTTCTCAATGATTCTCTCATGCTGTAAGGTAGTGGGTGAGGTCTTGATCTAACTGGCTTGTCTGAGGTGTGTTTAATATGATGCTGAACGAGATCTGTGGTACCGGGTGCTTCAGTAAACAAATTCGTGAACTGTTTAGCCAGATCCGTAAATTCCGTCCGTTGCTCGTCCGTAAGGTTTGGTCCAGTTGTAACATCCTTGATTGACTCCTTGGCTACATATCCACCAAGCTCTAAGAAATCAGCCTTTTCTTCCTCTGCTTCATCAACTGTAGCTGCACAGTCGACAGCATCGTCTATACTGGTAGCGCCTGCTCCAACAGCTACTTAAGTAGGTTGGCGTGGTAAACTTTCTCCTTGCCTTTCACTTTCACTTTGTAGTCATTGAGACCTACTACTTAACTGACTTCAAAGGGACCTTTCCACTGCATAAGTAACTTGTTATGGTCGGTAGGTAGCAGCACAAGCACTTTCTCACCTGGTTGAAACTTCCTAACTTTAGACTTGCGGTCGTAATAGTGCTTTCCTTTCTGCTGAGCTTTCTCCAATTCACTATGGGCGAGCTTAAGGGAATCTTCTAACTTCTCTCGCAACTCGAAAACGTACTGGTAACTGTTCTTTACTTCAGGCTCCTCAACTTCTTTCATCCACAGCTGTTTGAGTATAGTCATTGGTCCTCTAACAGCTCTTCCATATAACAGCTCGAACAACGAAAAACCAGTGGACTCTTGGGGGACTTCACGATAAGCAAACAACAATGGGTTTATGTAGCGATGCCACTGTCTTGGTTGCTCACTACACAGTCTCTTCAGCATAGACTTCATCGTTCCGTTGAACTTCTCCGTCAAACCGTTACACATCGGGTGATAGGGCGTTGTTGTAAGCTGTTTAATGCTTAGTAGTCGGGTGACTTCTCTCATGCAATCAGAAACAAACTGTGTACCCAGATCACTCAGGATTTCTTCAGGTACACCTAGACGGCTGAAGATATCTACCAATGCCTCTGCTACAGTCTCCGTATCAATGTTCTTTAGTGGTACAGCCTCAGGGTAACGAGTCAAAAAATCTAACAGTGTCAATATGTACCTGTGTCCGTCTTCACTCGGAGGACTGATAGGCCCAACAAGATCTATTGCTACTCTCTTAAAGGGCTTGTCAATCAGCGGCATCTTCTCTAACGGTACCTTCGGCACTGATCCCTTACTTACAGTCTTCTGCCAAACGTCACAGGACTTGCAAAATCGAGTTACGTTACCTTGAATTCCAGGCCAATAAAACGCACTCTGGATCTTGTCTGTTGTTTTGTTGATGCTCATGTGACCGCCCATGATCGATCTGTGAGCTACTTCCATTATGGGGCGTCCCAACTTTTCAGGTACCATGACTTGTTTAAGCGGATTACCACCATTTACATAAGGGTGCTTGTACAGACGGTACAGTATTCCACATAAATTTTTTAATCATTGAAATCTCCGCCTGACCCTTTACTAGCACATCGTCTCGATCCCAGTACTTGCGCAGACTCTCATCTTCACGCTGCATCTGCTTGAGCTTCTCTCTATCCACGATAGGACTCTCAAGGCTACTAGGCACCTTCAAGGCCATGCGTTCATCCTTTTTCTAAGCTTGACTTCTCGTAGTTACTGCACAGGCCTCTTGCCAACTGGGGGTCTGGATTTTGTGCGTCCCTGGCACCAGGTACGTTGCCAGTAATTAGGTCGTAGATAGGATCTGAAAGGCACTGCGCTTCTACATGGCCCTTAAGATAAGGCGTATCAACATAAATTCTTGCTATAGGTACTTTCCTTGCTGTGTTGTCAATAAGCAACATAACGTTTAAGTCTCCGGTGAGCTGATCCTCGCCGACAAGGTCCTTCTTGACGACAACTCCACTGCAACCAGTATCTCTTAAAACGTCGACAGTCTTCTCTCCAACTCTGCCCTTTACAACAGGCATCTTACTTCTTACTCCAGTTAAGGGTTCAGCACAAGCATTACTCAGCAACGGGACTTTCTTGCCTCAGGCTAACAGAAGCTGATCATTTTGAATACACGACTTGACTTCCTCGGGGGTAGCGTTAAGATCGGGTGACTTAACCAAACAGCCAACACTAACTTGACCACGTTGCACAGGGTTACCATCCTTGTCTTGGCCTCCTGACTTTCGTCCACCTGATCGACAGTTCCTCGCTTCATGACCTTGCTTGCCACATAGGAAACACATTTTAGCTAGAGTTGGGCAGTTAATAGCTTTGTGTCCGCGGGCATTACACTTGTAACACTGGAGGGCTGTTGTGTCACTCTGTGCAGTCTTTGTTTCCTCCACCTTGGGCTGTACTTGTGGCTTCTTGCTCGCAGAGCTGAACAGATGCTTTCCGTGTGCTTCTAAGTATTGATCGGCAATCTTTGCTATCTGAACAAGCGTTTCCGGGGCTCTTTCACGAAGGTGAATAGCTAACTCTTTTGGACAAGAGTCTATAAATTGTTCTTTCACAAATAAATCTTTCAGGCCTTCAAAAGATCGTACAGTGTTCGACAGTTCTAACCAACGTAACAAGTATCTATCCAGTCTCACTATAAACTGTTCAGGACTCTCGTCAACTTCCGGCTTTGATGCTCTAAATTTACGACGATAGCCGTCCTCTGTAAGGTATATCTCTTCATCAAAGCTAACTTCACTCGATCATAATCTTGGGCTGCTTCCTCAGCGAATAAACCTCCTGGGCACGTCCAGACAAAAGAGCGCTAAGTTTCGAGGCCCATCCTGTCTTCTCCCATTTAGCTGTAGTTGCGAATCTCTCAAATCGTTGTA